GTTTCCTGAGAGGTTGGCTGTTAAATTATTAAGGTGTGCTGAAGGACTACAGCTGTGTGGCGGCGTTAGGGGCTAGTCTCGTCACCTGCCGTTAATTAATGGCCTTGAGTGGTCAGTCGTCCCCCCTCCCTTCCCCCTCCCCCACCCCCGTCTGCAAAACTGCTGTTTGGGGAGTAAATGTTAGAAGTAACTTCAGATTTGTAACGCCTGTCGCCTTACAGTGAGGTTTTAATGAGAGTTGTAACTTTTGACGGTAAAACACATGCTGAGGCTCTTCTCCCTGTTTATCATGTCTTTTCAGTTTGATTAGTTTTTTTTTGAATGAAGTGCTCTTGCACATGCATGCTGAATGTCCCAATTAAATGCCCATTAACACCTAGTGCAAACGCAACAACATATTTTTGTCTTGTAGCGTCCAGCCCCACCTCAGACCTTCCGTTCCAACTGATTTCCTAACATCCACTATGCTGGCAGCATCCCACCCGACACAAAAGTTCCTAGTTATGGGGGGTCAGGTAAGCAGATATTTTTACAATATTGTGCAGTTATGCAAAGTTATTAAACCCGGAGTTTCTCTTTGACGGTGCGTTAAGACAACTCTGCAAAACCACACAATATTGATAAAATCCAGACGGAGAAACCCCACTTACCTGACCCCTGTCCCCTCCCTCTCTCCCCTGCGATGAGTCAATGGGAGTGTACTTTGCTAACAGCAGGAATTGATCGCTGGCCGCCTGGAGCTTGGGCAGGCTTGTAATGGCTTTTTGTTGCCCTTGTGGACCACTGGGGAGGGGGGGGGGATAGAAAGCCCCTTCTCACAAAGCTTTTACTTGCGTGAATAGTCCCGTGGAAGCCAAGGTTATTCGTGCAACTCAAAGTTGTGTAATTTTGCTGAGAGCAGGCAGCGCTGACTCCTCCTGGAAATCACAAATTCGAACGCGCTCCACAACACCAGCTGTAGGATTCCAATCCCGGTTTTTTTGCGCTGTTTGGGGAAAGAAGGTGCTAAATAGAAGCAATAATTGATTCTGGCATTGAGCCCCAAGATGTGTTCGTGGATGTGTCAGAGCAGTTCTGTGGAGCGCTCGTCGGTTCGGCTAAAACTAAACGGGGTGAATGCAGGCTGTAAAATTTGTAGGCAAATCTCTTCTCCGGGTTCCAAACCTGCTGAAAAGGAGAAGGAGGGTGCTGAGGGAGCCAGGTGGACGGCCCTGCTTACGGTGCAGATCAGCACTGCTGGGGGTTTTAACAACTCTCTGCTGCGAGGTGGGGATGTTGCGGGCCGTAAGAAAAGTACAGCCTTGGAAATGATGGCCTGACGTGTGCGTGAGCGTGTGTGCTGGGGAGCTGCTGTAGCTGGGAAGAGAGAGTACAGTTGTCCTGCAAGCTGCAAAAAACGTGTGGAAGCTCAGGAGAGGCTTCCAGTGTGAGATGGCTCTAGCAAGAAGGATAAAAATGTCATGTAGTCTCACAGAAATTGTTCCTGTAGATGCGCAGATGGGGAAAAACCAACAGCCACTTACCTGCTCAGAAGAGTTGGCGGGGCTTGTACCCCTCTGCAGACAAACCAACTCTTAGCCATGGCTCAGGAAACGTGGTGCCTGGAGTTTGGTGGTGTTTGCTTAGGAAATCGGTCCAAAATGCCAACACTAACCTTGTTTCATAACGCACTTGTTATCGTGATAGCAAAGTTAACTCTGTGGCTTACTGGTGATATTTTTATTTCAGAGCACAAAGTAATCATTGTCGGCCTGGATAATGCAGGAAAAACGACCATTCTTTATCAATTGTAAGTATGAACGGCGGGTGGCTTTGCGTGTATTTCAAGGTGTGCATTGTATTTATTACTCTGACTTGTTGCTGCTTTTTTTCTTTCACTTGGAGAGTGTTAACACTGAAGATCACACCTGTAACCTGGACGGTACAGGTGGCAGTGGGTCAAAGCGTGCGGTTAGGGTTTGGAAAGGTCTGTGTTTTGCCTAGTATATGAATAAGGTTTTGTTCAGGGCTTTTATTCATCAGATTACATTGTTATTACCACTTAATCACAACTGCCTTTGGTGTCACCCTGTCGGCTGTTTGCCAGCTCCGTAAAATAGGATTGTAGTGAGGTTTAGCCACAGGAGGGATGCTGCTAAATCACAGAATCACAGAATCTTAGTGGTTGGAAGGGACCTCTGAGATCATCGAGTCCAACCACAAAAAAAAAACCAAACCAAACCAAAAAAAACCAACAAAAAAAACCCCAAAACAACCAAACAAATACAAAACACACCACACCAAACGCCCACCAAAAACACCGCACCCACCAACTAAACCCCACACTCAACACCTCACCATAAACCAATAACCTTGGGCACTAGAGCAGGCCCTGAAGAGCCATGTCTATACGTATCTTAAATACCTCCAGGGATGGTGACTCCACCACCTCCCTGGGCAGGCTGTTCCAGGGCCTGACCACCCTCTCAGTAAAGTAATTCTTTCTAATATCTAATCTAAATCTCCCCTGCCCCAACTTCAGACCATTTCCTCTGGTCTTGTCGTTCATCCTTTGGGAGAAGAGGCCAACACCTGCCTCTCTACAACCTCCTGTCAGGTAGTTGTAGAGGGCAATGAGGTCTCCCCTCAGCCTCCTCTTCTCCAAACTAAACATGCCCAGTTCCCTCAGCCTCTCCTCATAGGACTTGTTCTCCAGGCCCCTCACCTCGACCCACAGCGCGGCATCTCCATCCTAAACACATCCCTCTGCGAGCGGCTCCTCTCCCTGCCCTGACCCGTCCCCTGCACACCGAGCTGTGCTTCCCTGCCCTCTGTGGTGGGCTTGGAGGAGGGAGGCTGAGCATTGGGCCAGCTCAGCTCTGGGGCTAGTGGCAGCCTGCCCTGCCTGGCCGGAGCTTTATTTGGGCCACCACCAGCGCTGGTTGCTGTCCTGCAGCTTCTGCCTTCAACGGCGGCGCTGACTCCTGTTTGTCTCACTTTAACCTTGCTGCTGGTTTATGTGAAACTTGTAGGAGCTTCCTATCTCTGGGCCTCAACTGCATTTTGATAAAAAGGTACAAATTTGTCCCTCGACTCGGAGGCCGGTAGGTGGGACGGGCAACTCAAGGTCTTCTTAGAAGAGAAACACATTTGCAATTTCTCACATGAAATAGTCTGGCATTAGGAAGTATTCCCGGGTCAGTATCAGAAATGATTCCTGTTAAGAGATCTGGCCATGCTGGTCCAGTCCTACACTTAAAATAAGCTTTTTTAAAACATTTGGGGGTTGTCAAATTATGATCTGCCTTTGCCTGTCTGAAACATGAAACTCCTGCAGCATTTCCGGCCACTTATGTCCTCGAACGCTCTGCAGAGAAAGTGAAAAGATGAAGATGGTTGTTATTTAAATCGAGAGAGAGAGATTCTGAAAAGCATAAATAGCATGAAGAATACTTTTTAAGACTAGTAACTGCTGCAGCTGAGGGCTGTCCTCGGTGCATTTTAATGCTGCCAGTGTCTTTCCACTTCCTCCACAGACGTCTCATGATTCTTCTCATCTTCTGATTTGTGCAGTCTCAGTGTTTTCTTTTCCCTTTTGTGGGTCTCTGTGTGCCTCCTTTTCCTTTGTACCCGTTTGAGCTCCGCAGGACTTCCCCTTCTCTCTGCTTGTATTCCCCTTCCCGGTTGCCGCTTTGATGGAGCTCCATGGTGTGCTGTCTTCTGGTCCTCCCCCTTGGCTCCTCCTGAAGCCCTACCTCCATCTGGGCATATCCCATTTTTTCTCTCACCATTGCTTCGTGACAGATAAGTGTTCTGAGCATGAATTAATATGGTTAACTCTTTTCACAAGAGATAACTAGACAGATAGCTGGTGTTGGTGAGTGCTCTGGTCGTTCCTTTGAGGCCATGGAGGGTCACAGCAGATGCTGGAGAGGTGATTCTTCTGACAGATCACAGCAGCTCCACAGATACTTTGTTTCTTCCTGATCTCGTACTCAGAACCCCTCCCTCCCCTCAGGCAGCCCTAAGATTTTGTGATCAGGTGTCCAGAAACACCATTAAGCTTCACACTCACCTTCTTTTGGTGGGGAGGAGGGAAGAATCCCCCTATTGTATTGCGAACTGTGAGGTGGCAGCAGCTGGAATGTGAAGGGCTGTGGGCTCAGCCAAGGGAAGGGGATTCACGATACGTCTCTTCCAAGCACTAGAAGAACTCTGCTGAAATCTGTTTTTTTAAATATGAAATCAACGAGAGGCATCTTATGATGTCATTGTTATTCTTAATTTGATTTTATCATTCTTTCTTCTCGTCCTTCTCTTCCCTTACACTCTCAAATGTGTGGGGTGAGAAGGTGTCTCGTGAGGCTGCTGGGGCACGGGGTAACTGGGATTCCTTTGGAGAGCACTGGACCATCCCTCTATCTCCCCAGTTCTCTTTATCCTCTTCAGGAAATATTCCAGCACTGTTAGAACTCTCAAATTACTGACACTGTAACTAAAAGCTCTGCTAAAGCTTCAAAAAATGTTCATATAAAATGAAAAAATACATCAAGATTACCAGAAGAAAAAATAATTAAGTTCTTTGACAATGGCTGATGTTTTTTTTCTTGAAGCTGCCTTTAATTATTTTAATTTTTTTGCTTATTCACACACGGTAGAATTTAAATAGTTTGAACTTGAGGAGTATCCAGAGTAGTTTGGTTGTCACTGCTGAAGTGAAACTGATGGTCTTAACCACAGAGTTGCACTCAGTATCTCTAAAACAACGTGTTTGAAGTACTTCATGCCATTTTGTCTCCAAAATGAGGGGGTATTGGACTGTGCAGGAGGGAGGGAGAAGAAGGTTTGGACTTAAGGGGACTGAGCTGTGAGGGAGGTGTGTTCTTTGTGGAAGGCGAGCGAGATGCACCGTGTCTGTCTGCTGGAGCTGGGTGCTGAGCTGTTGAGCGAGATGCTGCGCGTCTGTCTGCTGGAGCTGGGTGCTGAGCTGTTGTTTTTCTGCAGCCTTGGAAATCTTGTGGCTTAACCACATTCTTGAAGCAAACAACTGCTCTCTCCCATGTGTGCCAGAATCGGCCTGGAAAAAGAAAAGCTGACTGCTTAAAAACATCTTCTGAAGCAGATATTCTCTCAGCTTTATGAGTTAATTAATTATAATGTAGTTTTCTTCATGAATCATAGAATTGCCCAGGCCGGAAGGATAGTTTTCTTCATGAATTGTAGAATCATAGAATTGCCCAGGCCGGAAGGGACCTCCAAAGGCCATCTAGTCCAACCCCCCCGCAGTCAGCAGGGACACCCCCAACTAGACCAGGTTGCCCAGGGCCTCGTCGAGCCTCTCCTTGAGTATCTCCAGGGATGGGACCTCAACCACCTCCCTGGGCAACCTGTTCCAGTGCTCCACCACCCTCACAGTGAAGAACCCTCTCCTCATCTCCAGTCTAAAGCTGTTCCCTTCCAGCTTGAAGCCATTGCCCCTCGTCCTGTCACTGCAGGCCTTTCTAAACAGGCTCTCCCCAGCCTTCCTGTAGGCTCCCTTCAGGTACTGGAAGGCCGCTATTAGGTCTCCCCGGAGCCTCCTCTTCTCCAGGCTGAACAACCCCAGCTCCCTCAGCCTGTCCTCGTAGCAGAGGTGCTCCATCCCCCTGATCATCCTTGTGGCCCTCCTCTGGACCCTCTCCATCAGGTCCATGTCCTCCTTATGCTCTCTCAGCTTTATAATTTGATTATTATAGGATTCACTGAGTCCTTTTCTGTTGCTGTTCTTATTTATTTTTATTTTTATTCACCTTCCACCGTCAGACCTTGTCTCTATTTACCTGCTGTAACCCTCCCATGAAGCTTTCTACCTCAGAATGAGCGTGAAGTGTAGTTTTTGTAGTGGTGGGTCAGTCTGGAGTCCCAGGACACTCCATGATGCTGGTTTCTGTGATGTCTGACTGAGCTGCTCTCTTCCCTCTGCAGCTCCATGAACGAAGTGGTGCATACCTCGCCCACCATCGGGAGCAACGTGGAAGAGATAGTGGTCAACAACACGCGCTTCCTGATGTGGGATATCGGAGGGCAGGAGTCTCTCCGGTCTTCGTGGAACACCTACTACACAAACACCGAGGTGAGAATCAACTGGAGGCCTTTTTCCTGGAGGTCCTGGTGGAGCCATTGCTGGTGATGGGAATACAGCGTACCTGAGAGAGGGAGTTGGGTGGAGAGGAACCCAATGAAGTTGAACAAGGGCAAGTGTAGGGTCCTCCACCTGGGGAGGAACAAGCTCCCACAGCGGTACAGGTTTGGGGCTGACCTGCTGGAGAGCAGGTCAAAAAAGACCTGGGAGTCCTGGTGGACAACAGGTTGCCCACGGGCCAGCAATGTGCCCTGGTGGCCACAAGGGCTAATGGTCTCCTGGGGGGCATTAAGAAAAGCGTGGCCAGCAGGTGGAGTGGGGTCATCCTGCCCCTCTGCTCTGCCCTGGGGAGGCCCCATCTGGAGCACTGGGTCCAGTTCTGGGCTCCCAGTTCAAGAAGGACAGGGAACTGCTGGAGAGAGTCCAGTAGAAGGTGATGGGACTGGAACATCTCTGTGCTGAGGAAAGGCTGAGGGACCTGGGGCTGTTCAGCTGGAGAAGAGCAGACTGAGAGGGGATCTCATTGATGCTGAGCAAGAGCTAAAGGGCAGGGGGCAAGAGGATGGGGCCAGACTCTTCTCAGTGGTGCCAGAGACAGGACAAGGGGCAACGGGCACAAACTGGGACACAGGAAATTCCATCTCAACATGAGGAGGAACTTCATTACTTCTGTCCTGCCAGCTCCCATGATCAATTTACTGAAGCACCCCCAAGAATTTTAAGAGCTCTTCAGTGATGAAGTTGCAGCACATGTGCTGAACTTGATTAAAATAATGATTTAAGTCACCATTTCCTATGTGGTATCAATGGTGTTTTTTAAAAAAAGTTTTTTTTTATAATAATTAACTTAGTTCTCCTTTGCTGCCCTATAAGATGCTATGGCATGTATCTGCATGTGTGCTCTTGAAGTACAGAATTTATGGGTTTTTTTAAAAATCCCTCTCAAATACCTATTTGCATGTTAGTATGTGAAGTGGGGGGAGGAAGCTGGTACAGTTTACCTATTTAAGGCTGCAACAAATCATTTGCTGACAAGTGTGTGGCCAGAAAGATAGAGTTTGTTCTCTGAACTAACAGCTTTTCACCTTTTTTTAAAGTTTGTGATAGTTGTTGTGGACAGCACAGACAGAGAGAGGATTTCTGTGACTAAAGAAGAACTGTATAAAATGCTAGCACATGAGGTGAGTAGACCCTGTGTTTTAATTTCTTCTGGTATTTATTGTGGGTAAGACCTGGGTGATGGGTGGGAAGGGGAGCAGGTTTGCAGGCTTTTTGTGGGAGCTCTCACACCCCCTGGCTGGAGACAGACCAGGATGGAGAGATCCTCCCCGGTGAAGCCCAGGGCCAACGTCACCAGTTGTGTTCCCCCAGCTGCAGGTTTCACATCTGACTTCTTAGAATCATAGAATGGTTTGGGTTGGAAGGGACCTCGAAGATCATCAAGTTCCAACCCCCTGCCCTGGGCAGGGACACCTCCCACTAGAGCAGGTTGCTCAAGGCCCCATCCAGCCTGGCCTTGAACACTTCCAGGGATGGGGCATCCACAACTTCCCTGGATCCACAACTTTCTTCCTGCTAAAGCCTCTGTCTTTTGTGAAGCTCCTAATAAAGCTGTAAATTAACACCAAATTACAAAAAAAAATGCCTGCAAAAGTAGCTTTTCAACTTCTGAATGCTTCTGTGAAACAGAAGTTAGGACCTATAAATGACTTTTGTGCTTCAATCCATGTTAATAGCTGAATGAGATCATTTTAAAAAAGCCATTGTTTCCTCCAACAGCTTAATTACTATTTTTGATAGCTTTGTGGTTGCTTGATGTTTTCTGTTTTCACAGTCTTAATAATGTCATATAGCAACCAGCTCTCAAAGTGAAGCAGCAGACTGCCTGTGGCTACGACAGCCTTCATCCTATTTGTATTTGGAATTACAGAATGAAAGCACAATTTGCCAGCTTGTAATCACCCTCTTTAGAACTGAGCCCCACGTTGGGTCTAAAATTGAGCTGTCTGGGTCTGATTCAGGAATGCTGGAACTGCTGTGTGAGCCAAGGAACACCTATTCCATGACCTGGGTGTCCCAAAGACTTTAATCCATCCAGGCAGAGCTGCAGGACCACAGCCCTGATTTATACTGCAGGTGTCTTTATATAGACTTGATTACTGGTGGGACCCGTAAGACAAGTTCCGTGCAAACTGGATCAGTTTGTAGGAGATGACACCGAGGACAATGAGCTTCCAAATTGAAGTGTCAGCATACAAAGATGTGCAAAAAAGTTCACGGCATTACATCCCAAAATATTACAGCTATATTTAAACTACAGCCACTCTTTAGCAGATGACTGCAGGAAGGACAATGGCTGCCTGTGTATTTCCTTTGAGCAGTAATCTGAAGCGTTTGAGAAAAAAACAAGTGTTTTTCCTAGTGTCTTGAATTTATAATTTTGGGTATTTAAATTAAAATTGTGTTTAATAAAATAAATTCTAATAAAGTAGGGCTGGCTTTCTTGGTAGGTAGTGGTGGAGTGTGAAATGTGGCACGGAAAAGCTGTTGCCATTGGGTTAATGCTTTCATACTTGGAATTTCAGAGTTGTCTGTTGCAGTCGCTGAACAAAATCTGCATCTTCTGTCTTGTAATCCATAAAGGGAGATCTGGGAGTTGTTAACGAGCTGACTTTGAAATGAGGGAAGTCTGGACCCCCAAGCAGCACGAATGCCCTCCCTCCGCCTTGGGAGACTGTTTCTGTGCTGAGAAAGACCCCGTCTCGCAGTAAATGTGCCCATTGTTTTGCAGCAGGATGTTTTCAGTATGTTCTGCTCCCTCTCCAGATGCTGTGACGTTTGAAGAGAACAATAATACATATAAGCTGAAAGAGAAGGCAAATATTTATTTAGAATAGCTTTTCCTTGCAGCCCTTGAAAACCAGTCCAACTGAGTTCTTGTTAAGGCAAAATTGAGTTGCCCAGCTCAGTTCTAGCTATTTTCTGGACCAGTACAGTAGATCGTTTGGGAATTAATTTTACTGCTTGTAAAAATTAGTGTGCCTGGTAGGCATTTAAGTGAGTGAGTTGTCTGGGCTTCCTGGGGAGACTTTTTTTACTTCCAGAGGGACAGATTTTTCAATAATACATCCCTGTAACGGTGTAATTCCAAGCAGCCTGAGATAAAATAAGCTTGCCCCTGGAGTGGCTGTTCTCTAAATTGTTAGCACTCAGGTTTTAAATATTGCATAGGCCTCATAAAGAAGTTTATTGCAACGTGCTTGTTAGTGTAGATGTCCATCCTTTGGTGCTGAAGCAGTGTAAGTGGTGGTTTTCTGTGCATCCTCTAAATAAAATATTCCTGCAGGTTGCTTTACGCTGTCGGTGGTGGCCTTAAAGCTCTTCAGTGGGTGGGACTTCCCTGGCCAAGGGCTGCAGTGAGGGGATAGCATCCTTTATGGGTTTATGGGTTTTCATTACCTGAAGGGTGCCTATAGAAGAGCAGGAGAAGGACTTTTGACAGGAGGTGTAATGATAGGACAAGGGGAAACGGTTTTAAATTGGAAGAAAAAAGATTCAGATTAGATCTCAGGAAGAAATTTTTTACTCTGAGGGTGGTGAGACACTGGAACAGGTTGCCCAGGGAAGCTGTGGCTGCCCCATCCCTGGAAGTGTTCAAGGCCAGGCTGGATGGGGCCTTGAGCAACCTGCTCTAGTGGGAGGTGTCCCTGCCCAGGGCAGGGGGGTTGGAACTCGATGATCTTTGAGGTTCCTTCCAACCCAAACCCTTCTATGATTCTGTATTTTACTGGTGCTTAAAACATTCTGGTGGGGTAACCCACTGTTGCCCTGTGTAAGAACTGCTGCAGAGTCAACTCATTTGGGGCTAAAATCACTTTTAACAGTATGGTAATCCATAAAAGTGTGGGGGATGTCTGTGGAAAAGCCAGAAGAATGGAGGGGGTTGGATGCAGAGGCAGGAGTGACCTGGGAGGTCAGGATTAAAGGGGGGGCCTGGGCTGTCAGAGGGGTGTGTGGCAGGACTGTGGGTGCACACACACGGATACAGGGTGCCTCCCATCCTCACGGAGCACAACAAAACACCATACATAGCTCTACAGGTCATGCCAGACAAAAATTGGACGTTTGATCTGCTGGATCAAAAGATTTTCTGAAGTTATGCATCAACCAGCCTGCAGTGTTTCATAGCTCAGGTTTTTCTGTTAGGACTCTCTAGTTTGGTATCGCATCTTTTGCCTCCGAGGGCTGATTCGTAACCATCTTCTTTTGTTCTTCTTTCTCTCTAGGACTTAAAAAAAGCAGGTTTGCTGATCTTTGCTAACAAGCAGGATGTTAAAGAGTGCATGACAGTAGCTGAAATATCTCAGTTCCTGAAGCTGACTTCAATTAAGGATCACCAGTGGCACATCCAGGCGTGCTGTGCTCTAACTGGAGAGGGGTAAGAGTCATTCTTGTCTCTAGGAGGGGAGTCTTGGATTATTTTGGTATTTTTATCATGGTGTTTGGTTTTAACACAGTTCCTCCCCTGTCGATAATTAAGCTTGAAGATTTTTGTGCTCAGAACATGCTGACTGGGGATCAGTGTGATCTGAAAACCAAGTTTCACAGCAAATCCGCAGTCTCATCTCGCAGTGATCAAAGTTTGTATGATTTGGGCCTAGTGAGGGTGGGAACAGCCTTAAAATTCTCCTGGTTTATTAAGAATAATCATAATTAGAGAAAACTTCAGTGTATGTCTTGAAGTGATCTGAAATCTCCTTCTGGAAGTGATTCCTTCAGTCAGAATGGCAGAGTTCTTCTGGGATCTGAAATCTCTTTCTGGAAATGATTCCTTCAGTCAGAATGGCAGAGTTCTTAGGAAGAAATGAAATCGATGCCGTGGAATGATCTTTGAAGTTATCCCCAGAAGTGCATGCTATTCCTTAAAAATTATCTCTTTTTGTTTGCAGACTGTGCCAAGGACTCGAATGGATGATGTCAAGACTTAAGATCAGATGATTTTTAATGACCTCTTTGCACAGACATTGCTTGAAACGAGCTGTACCCATGATTACCTTCACAGTGGCAGAATTAATGGGTTAGATGTATTTATACTGAACTGATTTCAACTTTATTTTCTACATAGATGCACACACACGTACGTGTATATAAATTAAGACCATTCAGCAAAAAGCAAGATGCAGTTGAGGCTCCTGTTTGGTTTCCTGTTTGGTTTCCTCTGAGGCTGCGTTTAAAAGCTGTGATCAACCTTCTTTTCAAGATACAGCCGCTCGGAACAGCCCCACCTTGAGCGTGGTGAAGATTGAAGCGAGAGGAAGGAGCTTTTAATTCTGAGTTTTATTATTCCATTGTAGTCCTCTCTAGTTGAAGATGTTGGCTTCATTACTCCAGTAAATTAGCAAACAAATCAATGGCATAGATATCAACTTTCCAGTATTTTTAAGGTTACCGATGTTACAAATGCAAAAATATTTTCCTGTATGTGTACTGTACATATTTGTGTATATTTATACCTCAATTTTAGGTTAATTGCAATCTGTTGAGAGCAGTGTGTCAAGCTGAATGAGTATGTGGGCAGCAGTACTAACATTTGACGTGGCCAGGGTGTCACAGCTTCTCCTCCTGGGTTGTAGCATCCATGGGACACGTGGCTCCCCAGAACTTCATAAACTCTCTCTTCAGACCGTTGCTTGTTTCTCACGTGATTTTTCAGTTAGGGAGGCTGTACAGATTGAACTTCAAATTGCAGTGTCGGCAAACAGTAAAGTATTTGCCAAAGACTTGAAAATGAAACAGATTTTCTTTTTTTTTTTTTTTTTTTTTTTTTAATGGTAGTCAGCATTGGATTGGGTGATTCCAAAAAGCTGGTGTCCTGTGGTACTGCTGTCCTTTCCGTGCAGTACCTTCGTTGCCGAGTCACCGCTGGTACAAGGGAGTACCTTTAGCTGTCATAAAGGGAAAAACAGCATCTCTCTTCTTTTTATTCTTAACCAAAGAGGCAGAAAAGTGTTTAAATATCCCGCTGGAATCTTTAACAGGACAAGTCATGCTCTTTCCTAAGTGTTTTTCAGAGGAAGGCACGCTTCTCTGTGCTAGCGTAAAAAATGCACGTGTGTGGATGCGCGGTGGATGGAACGGGGCTGGGGAACAGACCAGATGACACTACTTGAGAGGCTCTCACTGCCCCCTGGATGGTGGCCCCATGGAAGCTCTGGGGGCAGCACTTCTTGAGAAATAAAGCTCCTTTGCATGGTCCCCAGGTGAGTTGTAGGAAGTGTCAGAGCACTACTTGGGCAGCTTTTCTCCCCGTGGTACCTACTGGGATGGAGGTTGTTGGGAATTGCCTTTTTTCCCAAGATCCAGGCTTTGCCAGTGGGATGAGTTGGGTGGTTTGAAACCTCATCAGTATTGGGGAAGTGAAGGTCGCCTTCATCGGAGGTGTTTGCCTTGGAGATGTAGGTTTGGGGGGTACAGCAAAATGAAATAAATCCTCATTTAAAATGTCCTTCCCTCTCTTAGCTCATACGTCTGGTAAGGATGGAAAAGACATATTAAAGGGGGGGAAAAAAAAAGCTTAGTTTGAACTTTTTAAGGTGCTTCTCTTTGGTTCTGGGATAATCTGGTCAGCACACCTGCCTTCCCCTCCGCCTGCTTCGCCGGGGATCGGGGTGTGAATCTGGGGGGAAAAGAAAGGGAGGCAATTTCAAAAGTCTGTATTTAACAAAGGCAGGTAAAGAATTAAACTTTTTAATATATTTTTGGTATCTCTTTACGATGCTCACCGGCTAGGGAATCTGCTGTCTTTGTTAAACATTTTAACGTGTACATGCATATATTTCTAGTGCATGCACATAGATATCGGTATTTAACTGGTGTATTGCAAAATGTATACTTGTTTGAAGAAATAACAATTTCATGCAAAGACTTTCTCAGTTTATCTGACAGTATCTTCAAGAAACGAGCTCTGTGCACACTTGCCTATGAAATGGAATTGTACGTTTTCTAGTCTTAAAAAAAGAAAAGAAAAAAAAAAAAAGAAAAAGCAGACTTGCTTATAAACCTGAGCCTTTGGTTTTTGAGTCTTATGTCTCCCCCTTCATCCCTTTCAAATGTTGTTTCCCTTCAGTGCCGTTAAATGCCGCGTCCCTTTGCCCTGAGGTTGTGTGTGCTGGGGTTTTGTTTGTTTTTAAGGAGAGGAGTTGTTGCTGTTGATGACAGAAGCATCACGCAGGAGTCTTCTGACCTGCTTCTCCCTGGAATTGGCTGCTTGCTCCTTCACTGGAATTTGTTAGGACTTGGGATGCCCATATAATGGAAATGGGGTGGTTTTTCCAGGGATGGTTGATGCTGCAACCAGGCACCTTATGTTTACTCCTCTTACTTCTCATGTCCTGGCCGCTTCCACTTTCTGTGGCCTCTAAGATACCATGGGGTTGGCTCCATCTTTGTTTCCCAAGTGGGACAGACCCCAGCAGGGAGCTGGGATAACCATGGGCCTGGTGAAAGGATGGCTTTTCAGCCCCAAAGAGTAAATCCTTGTCTGTGTGTTGGGCGGGGAGCGATCGGCCTTAACCTGACTGCAAAAAAGGTGTGTGTCATGGCATGTGTAATGATGAGTTGTCTTCTCTACCTGTGTGGGCATCTTGCAGCATCTTAGAGGGCTGATGTAGCAAGAACTCAGTGTTGGCCAACGCTTCCTGACGCGTCACCTGCATGTGGCATCCCCAAGTGGGGCTTGGGCATCAGAGGAAGACACACCTTCCTCCTAAGTGCTGGATTTGCAGTCTCTAAGGATGACTTTTGTCTACAGTGATTGGGAAACTCTTTGTCACCCCCTTGTAAACAGAGGTGAGGATCCCAGGTTCTCACCCCAACAGTGGAAGTCATTGGAGGAAGCTTTGCCTGAAGGTTCTTCCTGAGAACCAGTGTTGGCTCAGGTCTTAATGAGATGATCATTAGAGGGACGGCCAAGTCTGTGCCCTCATGGTTGTGTGGTTGTGACAGGCCTTTTCCACACACCTTGCCTAATGTTAGAAATTCCTGTTTTTCAATTTAGCCCCATAGTAGAGGAGGAGAAGAGCAAACTCTTGAACACACCAACTCTTTTTGTACGTGCTTCTCATTTCCAGCTTTTTTCTTTTTTCCCCGTAGGACAATTCCCATTTTTTCCCCCAACTCTGTCCCTAGAAAAGCAAGTGAACTTCGCCTCGATGCTGCTTTTGGCCTCTCTGGGTATTGTTTGGGAGTGATTGTCTTGAACATGAGTCATGACCTGGATTTGTATTGCTTTTGTGTTTTCTCCCACCGTCTGTGGTGGTGGCTTTTGGCTGAAGCTGGAGATGGCTTTTCCTTTGTTCTTTGTGAAATTTATTCTTAGGATATTTATACAGAAAAAGGGAGGGGGTCTTTAAAAATGGTTACTCGGTTGATGCTGCAGAATGCTGTTTTACTGGCAAAAACCAAAATACAGCAGTAACTCACATTTCAATAATTAATACTTCCAATGTTTCTCTTGGTTTGGCAAATAATAAATTTGGTAAATCAGCAATACAACCCGCTGCCCCTCTCGTCTGAAAGCTCCACGGGCTTTTTAATTGCAAGGAAAGGTGGGATGTAGAACTTGGAAAATGTGAACAGGGATCTAGCTAGATCCTTTTTTATTCTTTTTTTTATTTTTTCTCCTTGTTTTCTTTTTTCAGGGAGGCTTAACAGCTGGTTTCCTGTGTGTTGTGTAGTATGTTCCTGGGTGTGTGTGAATGTTAAACGTACCCGACAGGCCCCTCCTATAGTCTATGCAGCTCAAGTGCCTGAAACTAATCATAATTAGTTATTAAATATAATCCCCGATCAGCTTTTTTTCTTCCTATGCTACAATTTCCATTTTCCTTCGAATAGATCTATTTCTATAAAAGCATCTAAATCAGTGGGGTTTTCCCCTCCCCACACACCAGCTTTAACCTGATTTATGATAAATGTATTTATTACAGTTCTTTCCATTCTTTCCACCCTCTGCACTCCCAGTGTGTTCCAGTTTGTCAGTGTGTACCCAGCTTGTGCTGGGAGAGGAAATAACTGCATTTGGCCTCGTATCAGACTGGTTCCCTGGAATTCTGCTCCAGAAACTTTGTTTAAATAACTTAATCCAAGAATACTTGGCCTTGTGAGCTTCCTGGTGTAAGTAGTTCCTTTTTAATTGGCCAGTAAAGCATTAACTTTGCTGCTGTCGGACTAATTCTGTGATTCTGTGAATTATGTCTGAAATGTAGTTTTTCAGCCAATTCAAACGAATGTAACATTAAGCCTTGGAGTGGTGCATCATTGGGCGTGAAGGGACAGGAATGATGTGATGTCATGAGGAGTGGCACTAAGAAAAATGATTTTGGATATAGTTCTGGTGTATTACAAATGCAAATGTGACTTGAATAGAATTGTTGCGGCGAATAGATTAAATGCACAAAAAATGGGACATTATAAGCGGTTGCCACTAACTTTTTTACAACGTGTTTTAGGATCATAAGCAGAAATGATACTCTCGCCTTAGGAGGATTTTACTGGTTGGGTTTTGTACTGTACAGAAAATTTTTGGAGGTGTTTTTCCCATCAGATGGTAGCCTTTATTCCCGAGAGGATCGTACCCCTGTCCCGGCCTCCGCCTTTCCAACCGGATTCCTTGGACACAATTTCCAAGGAATTTCCAAGGACACATGTTGGATGAGGTTTTTAACTCAGCTGATGCTGAATGAGGTCAGAAGATGCTGCTGTGCCTTGAAGGCTGTAAATCAATCTCTGTGAATCCTCAGCCCAGGGTTGCTCTTGTCTAAACACTCCCGGCGTCAACCACTGGGGAGAGGAGAAGACCTGGCCAAGAACAGACCTGTTCTCCTGCACAGAGATTCAGAGATTATTTTTTTTTTAAAAAGCACCCAAAAAACCTCAGGATTGGAACTCCTGAGGACTTTTATGGCTCATAAATTAAAGAATTGGAGGTATACAACAGTGGGATGGTCACCCATCCTTTAAACTGTGTCTGTGTTGTGTTTTGATGAATGTTCTCAATAGATCCTCAGCTTTCTTGCTGCCACCTTTGTCCAGGACCTTCAGTCTTCAGCCACGTCCTCAGCCTCTGCCAAGTCCTGGATGAGAACATGAGCCTCCAGCGCTGGACCCGTCAGTCTTTGAGTCCAAAGTAAACGTCTCAGATGAGTACATTAATGAGGTAGTTCGTTAGAGTCTATCACCTAAATACAAAGCCCAGGTGTAGGCGCATTAATCACACGACCAGGGTCATGTTTCTTTCGGTCGCTTGAAATTTGTACTTCTCTTCCTAAAAAGTTTGTCGTCTTTTGGAAAGAAATGGGTAAATAAGGTGGCTGATGCTGATACTGCAATAAAAGCTCCTTCTGGAATATACAAAATTATTGGTTCGAATTCATACCGAGACGGGTGAGGGCTGCGTTTCCCAGCTCCAGCACTTCTGAGTCTGAAATTTGGGCAGCTAAAAGTTTTTTATTAATTAATACTTCCAATGTTTCTCTTGGTTTGGCAAATAATAAATTTGGTAAATCAGCAATACAACCCGCTGCCCCTCTCGTCTGAAAGCTCCACGGGCTTTTTAATTGCAAGGAAAGGTGGGATGTAGAACTTGGAAAATGTGAACAGGGATCTAGCTAGATCCTTTTTTATTCTTTTTTTTATTTTTTCTCCTTGTTTTCTTTTTTCAGGGAGGCTTAACAGCTGGTTTCCTGTGTGTTGTGTAGTATGTTCCTGGGTGTGTGTGAATGTTAAACGTACCCGACAGGCCCCTCCTATAGTCTATGCAGCTCAAGTGCCTGAAACTAATCATAATTAGTTATTAAATATAATCCCCGATCAGCTTTTTTTCTTCCTATGCTACAATTTCCATTTTCCTTCGAATAGATCTATTTCTATATAAGCATCTACATCAGTGGGGTTTTCCCCTCCCCACACACCAGCTTTAACCTGATTTATGATAAATGTATTTATTACAGTTCTTTCCACCCTCTGCACTCCCAGTGTGTTCCAGTTTGTCAGTGTGTACCCAGCTTGTGCTGGGAGAGGAAATAACTGCATTTGGCCTCGTATCAGACTGGTTCCCTGGAATTCTGCTCCAGAAACTTTGTTTAAATAACTTAATCCAAGAATACTTGGCCTTGTGAGCTTCCTGGTGTAAGTAGTTCCTTTTTAATTGGCCAGTAAAGCATTAACTTTGCTGCTGTCGGACTAATTCTGTGCTTCTGTGAATTATGTCTGAAATGTAGTTTTTCAGCCAATTCAAACGAATGTAACATTAAGCCTTGGAGTGGTGCATCATTGGGCGTGAAGGGACAGGAATGATGTGATGTCATGAGGAGTGGCACTAAGAAAAATGATTTTGGATATAGTTCTGGTGTATTACAAATGCAAATGTGACTTGAATAGAATTGTTGCGGCGAATAGATTAAATGCACAAAAAATGGGACATTATAAGCGGTTGCCACTAACTTTTTTACAACGTGTTTTAGGATCATAAGCAGAAATGATACTCTCGCCTTAGGAGGATTTTACTGGTTGGGTTTTGTACTGTACAGAAAATTTTTGGAGGTGTTTTTCCCATCAGATGGTAGCCTTTATTCCCGAGAGGATCGTACCCCTGTCCCGGCCTCCGCCTTTCCAACCGGATTCCTTGGACACAATTTCCAAGGAATTTCCAAGGACACATGTTGGATGAGGTTTTTAACTCAGCTGATGCTGAATGAGGTCAGAAGATGCTGCTGTGCCTTGAAGGCTGTAAATCAATCTCTGTGAATCCTCAGCCCAGGGTTGCTCTTGTCTAAACACTCCCGGCGTCAACCACTGGGGAGAGGAGAAGACCTGGCCAAGAACAGACCTGTTCTCCTGCACAGAGATTCAGAGATTATTTTTTTTTTTAAAAAGCACCCAAAAAACCTCAGTATTGGAACTCCTGAGGACTTTTATGGCTCATAAATTAAAGAATTGGAGGTATACAACAGTGGGATGGTCACCCATCCTTTAAACTGTGTCTGTGTTGTGTTTTGATGAATGT